CTGGATGTCACCGTACAAGTAGTCTCCGGTTCTTTTCTCATGTAATGGGACCTGCAGGTGATGAAGCCACCTATGCATGCATGCATACATTGTATCTCGCCAGATAATATATAACCTAAGAAAAATATTGTGGAAGTATATACCAAAATGAAAGAGTCTGTTACGTACAGCTGGAATTGCGTATGCAGAAATTTGACTCTTGTTCCTGAACCCCAAAAGTAAATGCCACGGTTAGGTGGGGTACTATTCTCTGATCGCGCACTTCAGTAGTTAGCTAGTTCTATTATTAACCGGGACTGGACGGGAACATCGTCTAACATCGTTCTAGAAGATTATATTTGGAACCATGTTTAAGCAGCACAACTGATATGTTTTGATGTCGAGAATGACAACACTTGCATGCAGCAGTGAGGGAGTGGCCTCATGTTGATGGATACCGTAGTTTCCAACTTTCCATCTTAGTTTTTACCTCATGGTAAGCTGTACTTCTAGCTGTACTGAAACTGTGCTTCATGTATGGTGCTGGTGTAAAGGGAAATCATGTATAAGACAATTAATTAATGTTTATCAGTCCTAAAATCCAATTGATATTTACATGGTATTATCATTTTGCAGCTGCCCACTAGTTCATCCCATGTTGGTGAGGACTTGGATGGTGAGGACATGGATGGAGAGGACGAAGAGGACATGGATGGTAGCTACATGGAAGGAGAGGACACGGAGGAGGACATGAATGAAGAGGACATGTATGAAGAGGACGAATGGGACGAAGAAGAGGACAGGGATGAAGAGGACATTGATGACAACAATGGGGGGGGCAGCAATGCTGGATCATACATCGATGACTTCTGTGATTTGGGATATATATGGTAAGGTTGCTATTGGTAGAAATAGCACATGGGTTGTCAAAGTGACTTTTGTCTATTGAACAACATAAGCTGGTGGCTGGTTCTTTGTCTTTTGTCTTTTGAACATGTATGGTCGTGGATGATTAACTTAGTAGTAATTGAATGTTAGATGGACTCGGCTAAAACTAGGATGTCATGGTTGGTGACATGGTTGTACATGTATAAATTAGGAGCAGCAAATGCTGGTGGTAGTAGTAGAATGTTAGATGTAATTTGTGAGGGTAGAACCTTTGGTATGTTGGCCCGTGTTGAATGCTTTGTAAACTCTTATGGAACTTTTAATATATATGCTTTAATATTGTGATATGCATATAACGTGTTGTTTGGTGAATCAGTAACAGATGTAATTGTAATATTTTTGTGTCACCTACTAATTTCTCTAGTGGTAATTTGAGAAAAAATTGTGATTTCCTTGACGGGAAGCCATCAGAAAAATTAGGTTGAACTGACAGAAATATGTTTACTTCCTTGAGGGTTGACTGACAGAAAAATTACTATAGCCCACAAAGAAATTAGTAATATCCCTGACGGTGACCCTACAGGGAAATCAGTTAACCTGACGGTTCCTGGCGCCGCACTAAACCTCCGGACGTTACAATATTTTTGTCGAACATCCGTCAAAAAATTACCGTCAGAAAAATATTTCTGTCGGTAAGCTCACAGTCAAATCTGATTTCCCTGTCAGCCTATCCTTCACGGTATATGCCTGTCGGGCTCCCGACAGAATTAATTTTTCTGACGGTTTTTCACGTTTTCTTGACGGTTTTTTGGCACACAGGAATAATGTAGTTTCCAGTAGTGGCGGTTTTACTACTTGACACATTTGTTGTCACATTTTTTTTTTAAAACGTATCTACGTCCTCTGAAGTTGTATAGCGAGACACGGTTGTTGACATGTTTTTCTTAAAATGTAACTACATGTGCCGCTAAACATGACTTCTAATACGTGTTAAATGCTACATTACGACCTTATATGGAATTAAGAATAATTATATCAGAACTAATTTTTGCAATGGCAGGTTGGCCATATTTGTTTGTGGTCATCAGATACGTAAAGGTACCACGCTCTATGCTGTTCAGATTGCTGAAATCCTGGTGAAGTGATTATCTTCTTGTCTTTCTATCGGTGTCCCTAATTGCTGTGATCAATGCTATACTGTACTCTGATTAGTTTGTGCTCAATTTTGGTCACATGGAGCGAAAACGACATACACCTGTGAAGTAGAAGGCATCTTTGATGACATCTAGAGTAGTTGATATTTTTTTTCCTAAATTCATCACAAAAAAATTGTGTGGTGTTGTATTTTCTAGAACTTATATTGAATGGACTTATTTATTTGATTTGCAGAATCATAGAGCATGTCAAGAAAATATGCTAATCAGAGAAGTGAAGACTGAGAATTGAAGTGATTTCCTGCATGCTCAAAGCTATTAAATAGAATTAGAACCCAGTATGTAAGATTTAAGGGAACATGTAATATCTACATGTATATGGATGATTGGTTCGTTGCTAACTGTCTAATACTAAATGAATACGTTTCATGTGCTTTTTCATCTTTGATACTATGGTGTCCAAAGTAAATATGGTTATGTGCATATTTGAAAATAGTTCTGCAAACTATATTAGCGACGAGGAAAAAAAAAACCTAAAGCGAATGAACTTTGCTTGACACGAAATTTAAAATGTCTATAACGTATAGATACCTAATTCACCATCTCTGAAAAGTGCATCATGTCTTCTACATACGCTTGACATCATCTCTGGAAAGCATCTCATGTCTTTTGGATATGCTTGAAATCATCTCTAGAAAGCGTCTTTTGTCTTTTAGACACGCTTGACAAAACATATCTATGGTTCCTGACATGGTCTGTGTGGAGACGCTTCAGACACGCTTCAGTGAAGCGCGTCTACACTTCACTAGAGGAGTCGGATGTTGGGGGAAGTGCTATGCTAATCTAGGGTTTGCTTGGGTTCGGTCGATCCTCTCGTGGTTCGATCTCCCGATGGGTCTGTCCCCTTCTATGGGAACCCAAGTCTTCCGTCATATACCATGGAGGCAATGGGGGCACAAAGCGAATGGTCGTTTCTCCTATGGTTTCTCGCCCTATGCTTCAGTCTTTTTCCTCTTGGCGCTGCAGGTCCTCCTTTGTGTTGTAGCTGGGGGCCGACAAAATCGCAACCACTCCTTGACACCACTGCAGCAGCCTGGTGCTCACCACTTGGTGCTATCTGCTGCAACCGCGTCTTTCCTGGGTGAGCCTTCTCCTGGCTTCTTTGGCATATCAGGCTTCTCTCCCTGCCTATTGGACCTGCCAAGCGGGCCCGGTGCCCCTCACTAAGAGAGCATGGGGAGTTCCTTGTCCTGACGTGTAAATGCCTCGTGGCCATGGAGCAGGACGGTGGCCCGGTCCTTCTGCTGTTCTGCACTTGTCATGCTCTAGGCGTTTGACAGATTCTGGGGCAGGTTCTCGGCGTTGCTTCGGGCAGGTGCATTGCCCTAGCCAAGCCTAGGTCAGGAACTCCCTGCACCTTGGGTTAGGACTTGGTCCTTCTTAGCTCGGTCCGGTCCCTCAGACATCAAGACTTCCTCTATGTTGGGCCTTTGGAGGCCCCTCAGACCATAAGCTTATGGCCCGGCGGTATGTACGCACAAGGTTATATGACGGTTGCAGCCCCTGAACCCTCGCATAATTGGGAGAAGAATGAGACGGGGGTTAACCAAACTATCATGTCCTTAATCAGGTGGTTCAACATACCTCTATGTCAATTAGAATCTCGTCACACGAATATTACAATGATATCAATTTTGATTTGGAATAGATATTAACTACGTCCTGAGTTCAGGCATTTATACATTCATCAGTAACAATATAATTCATTGGTAAGAAGAAATGTGACCTGTTACTCTCTTTGTAGTGCGGCGGGCGATCCACCCATTCTCTTGCATTCACTCTAGAACGGGGACATATCAACTCAGGACAAGGTCACCGCCGATCATTCATGGAATCATGGTCTCTTCCTCTCAACACTACTACTCGCACATGCTCTCCACTTGGCCAGCCCAAGCTGACTCGGCAATGCCACGTCCAAGAGCTTTTAGGCCCCATTTGGCATAGCTCAGCTTCACTAGTGAAGTAGTTTTTATGCGTTTAAGCTCAATGAGTAGCTCTATCAGTGAAGCTGAGCTGTTTTTTCATCCCGTTTGACAAAACAGCTTCACATTGTGGACCAAATGAATAAAAAAACTGTAATGCACTTCTTTATCCTCTATCTCTTCTGTCTCTTCTTCCTAAACTTGCGTCCGCCGGTCGCGCCTTGGTGACGGTCGCGCCCTTGTGGTAGTTCTTGCGTGTGCCCCAACGACTGTGTTGGTCGTGCCCCAGCGGCCGCACTGCACTTGCCCCGGCGGCCATGACCGCGTGCGCTCCCGCAGGCTCGCCGGTCGCGACCCCTGGGTGACGGATCCATTGCACCGGTGGCACAGTGCGTGCGCTGGAGGCCGCGCCGGTCATGCCCCAGTGACCAGACCGTTTGTCCCCCGACGGCAACGCCATGGCCCTCTACATCCCAACGACGGCAGCGCTGTGGCCTCACTCCTCCGCCCTCACTAGGTCGTGCCTCGGCGGTTGCATCCTAGCAGGCCATGCCCCGATAGGCCTAGCCCCGGAGGCTGCGCCCCCAGCAAGCTACACCCTGGTGGGCAAGCCCTGGTGGCGCGAGCTGCATCCCAGCGGGCCATGCCTTGGCGGTCACACTGCCGGCCGCTGCACCCTGGCGGGCCGCACACGCTCCCTCCCCGAGCTTGTGCGCTCTCTCCCTATGCTTGGTAGTCTTTTGTGCACACTGGGCCCATATGTGTTAGGTGAAGTTGTGATAAGCTATTTTTTTTCAGCTTCTTCCCACACCCTCCCTCCGTAAGAGAAAAAAAAAGGAGCTTCACCCGTAAAGTTGTTTTCAAAAAGGGTGTTTTGTAAAAAAACAGCTCAGCTATTGGTGAAGCTGTGCCAAACAAGGCCTTAGTTATACACACAAATTTCATTACTGCCACACACCTTCTCAAAAGATAAGTAAACAAAGTTTCTGGCGATCAATCACGCAGTTGCTTCTGCAACTCGAAGGAACCGAAGGCCGTAGATACCATCGTCATCCAGCACGGCCTCTCCAACAACCCCAGTCCACCCGTCAGCGAGCAGCATCAGCTGGCACCGGTTTCTGTAAAAGCAGCAGCATATGTCGTGCTCCGTGCTAAGCCGGCTGACCGAAACCAAGTTCACTGTCACCCCCTCCAATAGGTAGACAATAGGTATGCTGAAGCCGTCCATCTGTATGGTGCCAACGCCGATGATGGGCAAGCGAGATCCGTCCGGCAGTGTGGCGAAACGAGCTGCAGCTCGGGGAAGATAACGGAGGTGGTGTAGGAGCCCCGCATCGCCAACCACGTGCATGCTGGCACCTGAGGCCTTGTTTAGTTCATCCTCAAAAATTTACGTATTATCCCATCGAATGTTTGGACACATGCATAGAGTATTAAATATAGACTAAAAATACCTAATTGCACAGATTGCGCCTACTTTGCGAGACAAATCTTTTAAGCCCAATTAAGCCATGATTTTACAATAAAGTGCTATAGTAACACATGTTGTAATGATGGATTAATTAGACTTAATAAATTCGTCTCGCGGTTTACCGATGGATTCTATCATTTGTTTTTTTATTAGTATCCGAATACCCCATGCAACACCCCATATGACACCCGATGTGACACCCTAAAACTTTATAGCCTGAAACTAAACAAGGCCTGAGTCCAGAAGAAAGCGAATAAGGGGACGCCTGCTTCCATGAAGCAGGGCCATACCCCTCTGTCCTGTCGATGCTGAAGAATTGCAGGCAGCTACTAGCTGTGCAAGATAGCTTTGTTTCCTCACCCACATTGTGGCCTTTTTACTTCGAACTGAAAAAATATCACAAACTGCCTGAAACACATGTACATAAACAATGATACAAAATACAACACAAGAACACCAACTGTTGGAAACCATGTACGTACAAAATAAATCATAAGCGCTTCAATATTTCTTAATTTAAAAGAAGCCTCCTCCTTAATGTCCACAAGACACCAAAGAAAAAAAGTCCTAAAAAAATCATTGGAGAAATCATTAACATCTACCCATGTATTCACAAATATATAATCATCGTTGACAATGATAGCGGGATCAATTATGTTTTCAAAAAAAAACCCACATCTGTCATTATTGATTATTGAAAAAAGAATCATCTAAAATACCCAACAGCTACCACCTTATAAAATAAAGTAAAGAAACCCTTAATCCTCATTTAAATTACCCATACATACGATTATGAAACATAATACAATGCAAGCCATAAACTGGCATCGAAATTACGAACCTCCACTGTATTAAAAATATCATGATGTCATACACAGCTCTAAAATTTACAGTTATATAGAATTTAGGAAAAGATTATCTAGAGTAGTAATAAGTAACCCCCAAAATTTTTGTGTAAATTATGTACCCTCCCCTATTATTAAAAAAGAGCATAACTTAGCACATAAAAAAAATCTAAACTAACTAAATATGTATGTAATTATAAAATATATCCCCATAGTACATCGAGACATGCTTAACACTTCTGTCATTTTTAATACAGAAAAAATAATAATTTGAAGCATGCTTGAATGATGTGTCAACTATCTCCATCTAGACATATGCATGAATCCATGGCCACGTTGATTTCCAAGGCAAATATATTGATGAAATAAGGTTTCAACTAAGTCCCTGCTTTGGTCCATAGGACTAAAGTTTTGCCCCCTGTTTTAGTGCCTTTCAGTCCTTAAATTGCCAAACAGGGTGACTAAAACGGGCACTAAATGGTTTAGTCCTTTAGTCCCTTGGGGGTGACTAAAGGGGACTAAGGGCATGTACAACCTACAGACGGGGTTACGTCTCTATGCGCCTCGATTCTATCATACAGACAGGTATAAAGACGGGTCATACAACCCATAAGCTGTTTAATGCTTTGCATGTAGTTAAGATCAACTGTAAATAAATTTTTGTATATTACTGTGTGGCTATTTGATAGAAAATGCATCAAAGATAAATAAGAGCAATATAATTACAATATTTTTAAAAACCATCAATATAATAATCATATTATATATAGCTGCGAGTCCTCATAACCCAGGTCCGCCAAAAAAACCTACACAAAGTAGTGCATACATGTATGTCAAGTTGGCAACGCATGAAAGAGGTTGTTTAACATATATACAGGTTGCTCAATTTACTACATATTGGACAAAATCATTTGCAAACTAATGATTTACTAGCTCTGTATAACAAAAGTCATCTAAGGACTTCCCTGTCCATGGTATAACAAAAAAAATAGTACTGGCTGAATTTTCAGAAAATAGCAGCATGTTCACAGTTTCAGAAAAATAGCAGCACATTCACACTGAACTGAAAATTCAATACACGCATGCAGTCTACAGCCTCACCTTCCTGCTCTTTATTTTTTGCCAAAAATCAGATGAAACATGAGCATCCAAGCTACAACAGTCCAGCAGCACATCCTTTTACTCTTCCTCACGCCAAGCACCAGAGAACAATTTCAGAGTGTAGACTCACTGCAATATGCTAGAATCAATAATCGGCTAATAACAGTAACCTATCAGATGTTGAAGCCTAAAAACTTATATGCTTCAATTTGATCATGTAACTGCTAGGAGGAAAATACAGTATAGCTCTGCAAATGCATAATGCCTTGCCAAAGTAAGGAAAAGGGAACAGACTGCACCACTGCAATGACTTCAGTTCCATACAGTAACACAAAACGAATTTTCAGCAACAAATTGGTACTCAACATCAAACAGCAGCAACGACCAGGCATTAGTTCATTCTAAAACAACAGTAAGAAACATGAGATATATCAGGAATTAGGCATCGACCAACAGTTCTGTCAAGGACTCAAAGTGAAGCCACTCTGCTAAGGCAATGATAACTCTGTATTGACCTTTTCATCAGACAGTCATCGGACCTTTTCATCAGCTAGAACATTTAGATCCCTGAGACAATAAAAGGAATAAGTTGAGTTGTTCGGATCCATGTAGAATCATTGCCAAATACAAATCAATTCATATCTGCGATGAGTATTTTCATACTATTGCTTGATAAGTTTGCGGGGGACTTATCAAGAATAAGCAAGCAGGTCAACTCGAAGTAATTCAAGTAGTAGCGACAGAGAGAGAAAAAAGACGGACAATGTGCTGGTGAATTGGACGAGGACGAGGACGAGGAGCGGCGTGCTTACAGGGTGGATCTTGGTACTGATGAGCTCGAGCACGACTCTACGGCTCCGGCCGGCCATGTCCCAGAGCGCGACGCTCCCCGTCGCTGCCTCCTCCTCACACCTGCTGCTGCGGACATCGGCGCGCGGTGGTAGAACGACGCGAGGCAGAGCTCGTTCGCGCGGAAGCCCGTTAGCGCGCGCGCCGAAATCAGAACCCCGCGCGCATGGGATCCGCGAGCCGTCGACTCAGAGAGGGTTGTATTACAACGCTGCTGGAGTAGCCGTCTGGGCCTCGGAGCACGGGACTTCCCCGTCGTCTCGCGAGACGACACGGCCTCCGTCTCCAGGCTTCCACGGGGTTGTTTTTGCAACAGATGGAAGGGACGCGTTGTACATGCCCTAAAGGCCCAAAAGGATAGCTCCTGCCCCTCATTATTGCCCCGTTCTCCACTGCTCCAGCAGATTTTGTGCATTGATTAGGGGTGTTTTGGTCTTTATTCATCTACTTTAATAGTCTTTAGTCCATGTAACCAAACAGAGTAGGGACTATTCCACGGACTAATGGAACCAAATAGGCACTAAATAGATGGCAAACATGCATGAATATGCAATGCAAAAGGAAAATAAGAATAGGATGGAAAAACATATAGATTACTTGTAGATTAGGTCCATTAGAAGCCAATAAAGATTACACTATCTATTGGAGTACTTCTCTTTTAGAATGCGAAATGTCAGCTAGAAATAATTGAACACAAGTTAAATAGATACGTGTGATGTGAAACAATTTGAGGAAATAAAAACATTAATGGGGATGCAGTATACTGTATAAAGTGATAAGATAAAGAAAGTATATATGAGTATTGGGTTAATATATATAAAAAACATAAGAGATACTTTGAGCTAATAAATGCAAGTTAAACATACAAGATGACGCAAAGCAAAGAGTACAATAATGAACTGGGATGGTAAAATATATATAGAGCAATTAGTAACTAAATCTATCACAATCGCTTAAAGATAAGAAAGAATCAACAACAGTATCATATGAGAACATGAGCAATGGGACAACACAAAGATAAGCAATTTCAGCTAGTCATGGTCTCAAATTTATACATAACAGTAATACTTAGCTCTCTTAAAAAATAGTGCTGGTGCAGCTATACGTGTTGATGGATTGAAAATTTTAATCAAGACATATGTTTATGGAAAAAATAAAAATTGTGTTAGAATGTTCCGAATAACTGGAAAATGTCTATGACCTTGTCACTTAGACATCCCGCACGCAATACTGTTTGTGTCAGACGCATGTGGGAGGTTTTACCACATCCACCATGTATGGTAAATGACGGCGCCCACAACACTGTCGATGCCCAGAGGCATGTGGGGGATTTTACCGTGTTCGCCTGATATGGGAATTGATGGCGCCCACAACACTGTAGGGCAGATGTCGGCGCCCACAACACTGCTTGGGTTCTGGCATACCTAGAAGGTTTGCAGGGCATCCTTTTGATATGTCCTGTCGGTACTGTCCTGTAGGTGTATAGGGTACGTAACTTGGTATTGCGGTTGACTTGAGCGCCCTGCTTTACTTGTTCTGCCCATTTCCTGGGTCCTCACCGAGCGGGCGTCCCCGGTCGGTTGGTCCCAGTCGGCTCCGACTGCGCCAGTCGGAGAAGAGCTATAAGCAGAGGTTCGGAGAAGCGGGCCGGAGCTGGAAGCGCGTGCTGTTCCTCTTCGGCTAGGCCTTCCGGTCGGAGAGGCGGGCCAGAGTCGGAAGCGAGGCCTTCCGGTTGGAGAGCGCGGGCCGGAGCCGGAAGCGAGTGTCGTTCCTCCTTGGCCAGGCCTTCCGGTTGGAGGGGACGGCCGGAGTCGGAAGCGAGCACCGTTCCTTCTTGGCCAGGCCTTTCGGTCGGAGATTGGATCGCCTTGCTGGCCTGTCGTTAGGTTTTTGGGCCGGCCCAGGAGTTGCGCATCGTTCGCAACGTCATCTGCTAGGCCGAGCTTTTGCTGGGAAGCAGGTCCGTGAGGGACCCCGGGTTTATGAACCCGACAGGAGCCCCCAAGCCCCCGGGCGATTCAAGTAGAATCGTCTGGGGGATTTTTGTCTTGACAGCGGGTGCGCGCGAGCGCACCCGTGGGTGTA